ACCATCTTCTCAATTTTACAACCCCAAGCAAAGAGACTGAAAAGAAACACAAAGAACAGGGAAGGGGTAGGTACCCTCAACAGCCCCCAGCCCCTGCAACCATAGCTTCTCTGGGAAGCCTTCAGTGGCCACTCCATTTGAGATCACAACCGTCCAGGACCCACTGACCCCACTCCACTTCCTTGTCCCATAGCACCACCACCTGCTAATTGACGACATGATTTCTCTTGTACGTTGACTGCTTTTTTGCTGCTTCCTCTTGTTAAAATTGCAAGCTCTTAAAGTCAGGGATATTTGTCTGTTTCTTCACTGTTGTTTCCCCAATGCCTCAGCTAGCACTTGGCACATAGTAGGTGCTTAGTGAGTATTTGTTGAGTGAATGAGTGAATCAGGCTTGGATAATACATTATAAAGCAAGATGGCCCTCCTACTTCACTTATGTTGCAAGCGAGATAGGGTATGTGGCAAAATGGCTGTAATCAATATGGGCTACAAGGACTAGCAAGAAGATATTAAGATGAACCCCCAATGGATTTATGGTTTAGAACCCACAGAAGACTAGCTCAATCCAACTGGTGACTCATTTCACCTTGCTGTCACACCAAGTCCCCTCATGTTCTCCTTTTAACACATTAGCATACTAAATGGTCCACCCTGTGCCACAATGATTGGAAACAGAAAGCCCATATAGGGACACAGGGTGGCCAACAGTGTTCTTCCAAGACATCTCCGCCCCTCTCCCCAGAAAAGCCCTGAATATTCCTCCCCCTTAGTGAATTCCCTACCCGTTGATTAAATGAGCCTCAACAAAAGAAACAAACCCCACTAGGAAGGGGGCTGCTCTGCCTGTGGAACAGCCTTCTGTCTGTCCTACTCCTTCCCTAATAAACCCTCTTTCACTTTAAACTCTATGCTGGCTTGCGTTTGAATTCTTTCCCACAGGAGCCCCAGAATGCCTGCATCAGGAGGAGCCCAGCAGAACTGCCCACGTGGCCCTGCCTGCTGACCAGCAGGTGGACCCACCTCCAGACCCACCTCCTCAGCCCCTGCAGGCATTTGTGTCCTGGATCACAGCTAGGACTTGAGTGTCACTGCCTCATGAGGGACAGCCGGGGAGTGTCCCCAGGCACCTGGAAGCAGACCTAAGACCACTGTCAACCAGAATCAGTACAACAAAGAACACCTGAAGGCTGGCTTTGGACCAGACACCACTGAAAGTGGGTATCAAAAGCAGAAACATGTTTGCGGCCCCCGGCTTTGAGGCAGGAGAGAGCTGAGGGCTGGTGTGTGTGGGAGGGCAGGGAGGCTGAAATTTACTGAAAACTTGCCACTTGCTCTGGGGCCTATCAAAGAAGAAGGTTGCCTTGTGTTGGGGACAGCTTCTCTCCCAGTAGGGGGTTGTCACTCCAGGGCACCTGAGGACAATCCCAGCTTGGCCACCTTAGCTCCTCACTTATCTGTCTTACGGACATTTCCTTTCCCTTCCCTCCCATCAGTTGGGCAGGTTTTTATCACAGTGTTTCAGTGTGTATGGACTTGGGAATACTAGAGTTGCAGTGAATATTCACCATATACCAACACACAGACACATGCAAAGCAAGAAAGGGGCTGATGGAGACACAGACAGGGACGGACATGCACATTCACACACACCACAATCCATTCTCTATCTCTATCAGTTACACAATCCCTACCCTTTCCAATCCTTTAATCACATGATTGGCTCCCCTGGCAACCGGCCCTTCATCTTTAGGGCCTTTCCCAAAATCACCCATTCACATAAACTCACTTGTGGTTAAAAGGGGCTTGTTAGGAATAACAAGGCACCCATTTCACTTTTATGGCTCTAAAGAGATTTCAGAAACTGAGGACAAGATACCAAATATTTTAACAAAAGGAGCTCCCATTGCTCTTGTCTCTCAGGAAATTCCAAGGGTTTGGTAGCTCTGTGCCAGAAATGGAGATGAAGACCGAAATATACTTCGTATTATAAATTACAATATTACAATTAGGTGTATTATACGACATGACTGGCACATCACATTCTATAATATTACTGTTTAAGAGATGGTTAATGCAGTTTACTTACGTTTAAACAGTGAGTTTATTTAAATAAAAGTACAAAGCAAAAAATAGTTCAGGATAGGGCAAAAGTCACGGCAGTAATAAACAGGTGACTGAAGTTTGGGAGAGGCTTTTTATCTGAAGTGTAGTTTTTTAATTACCTAAGTTCAAACTTGGAAATTAATATAAGCAATAAATAATTTCTATCAGTCCCTCTCTTTCCCAGTTATAGTTCAGTGAAGACACTGGCGATTCATTCATTCATTTATTCATTCATCAAAAATTTATCAAGGGCCTATTAAATAAGGTTTAGGAAGACAAAGAAGATATAGGTCTGCTCTCAAGCTGCCCTATGCAGTCTGTTAGGAGAGAAAGACAAGGAAGTCATCATCACAGCCCAGTCTAAGAAGAGCTAACATAGAGGTGTCTAACCACAGGTCAAGGATCACTCATTGGAGAATGTGGCAGCAGAGCTAAGTTTTGAAGGACAAGGAAAACTTAACCAGATGAGAAAGGGAAGAGCCTCCCAGGCAGAACAGACATCATTGCTGAGCGTACACCTTCAGTCTGCAGAGTCAGCCCGGCAAGTGTCTGACCCATTATGGCTGACACCAACCCACCAGTGACAGAGGCCGGAATCAGTCCTGACTCCCTGGGCTGGCTGGCATGTCACCAAGGTGCTCTTGCTTCGAGCTCTACTTGGTGTGTCCAGTCAGTAAAGCAAGCTGTGGGTTCTTGATTTGATTTCCTTGGGACCAGATTCCTGCTCCAGGCCCACCTTAGCCTTGCCTTGGATTCCTGCACTTCATACCTGAGAGATAGGTCCCCCAGAATCTTGATGTCACCACCTGCCTGATGCCAAATACAGCCAATGTCTAGACACTCCTGTTGCAATGTCGTAAGAATAAGAGCCTCCACTTACCAAGCTCTTACTCTGTGCCAGGCTTGGTTTATGCTTATTACATGCATCATATCATTTTTGTCATTGGAATAACACTATAGGATATTATTATTACTTCCATGTGATAGTTGAGGATGTTGAGTCTTTAAGAGTTCAAGGGACTTGCCTGAGAACATGCTTTGTGAATCGCAGAGCCGAGGTGCATGCTCAGGTATTCTGACACCAAGACCTGTACAATTAACCACTGTGCTATGCTACCACTCCCCACAGTGAATATGGAAACCCACTGGATATCAGCATTGGCCTAAAAGTTGAGGGCCTTGGGATTGTGATTTGGGTGGCAGGAAGCCCTCCACCTCTGTGAGGAGCAGCCCCAGAAGAGGTGAATGCCCTAGTCCTATCCATTCCTTCCTTCCTTTCCTCTCCAATGACCCAGAGCTCCCAGCATGCCTCATTCCAGACTGAATGGGCTCTAAGCACTGACCACACTCTCAGGGAAGCAGAATGGCCGAGAACAAGAAGCTCAGAATCCCAACTTGGTTATCAGGAGGGGCTCCACATAGCTTATATTTTCTATCTTTGGAAGTCCTTCCATGTTTTAAGTCCTGGGTCCAGAAATCCTGGTTTTCAGATCAGGCAAGAAACCATGAAATATTCAATGCTTTATGGAGATCTTAGGTCTTCTCAAAAGGATTCATTCCACCAAGGAAAGCTGCTAACCCTCAGTAGGCAGGGCCTTGGAGGTAGGTAGGGAGTGGGGTGTGTGGGCCTCATGAAAGAGAGCAAGAAATGAAAGCGAAGGAGTAGCCTCATACCCAGGCCTGACTCCTGGGGTAAAAAGCTTCACTCCTGGCCCTGCGTCAGGCCATTTCCCAGGCAGGGCAGCCTCACCAGGGCACCACAATGGGTCCCAGTGTGGCTGAACGGGGAGTCCCACACCAAGAGAAGATGTCATCGAGCTCTTGGGGAGGGTGGAGCTGCTGTGGGCTGCCAGGGCATAATGCACAAGCCCTGTGGGTGGCATAATGTGGTATTTATCTCCCTCACTATGCAGAGAGGGGACAGGAGGAACAATCCAGACTCTGTCAGCAAGGTCCTCTGGGGAGTTCAGGCCTCACTAATGAAGATGAATAAGAGGGGGGATCTGCCCTTCATGGCTGCTGCCTTTGCCACATACATATTCATGGGCTGGGGGGACAGCTCCTGGGAATGATCCATCCTCCGTGGAGACGACAGGGGCCGAGGTATGGCAGTGCTAATCCACACACGGGGTGGGTGTGTCTTGTGGGGCCAGGAAGGAGGACCCTCTAGGAAACACTTTTCAATATATGGAATTTCCAAGGCAAAATCTATTCCTTTGCCTGATGTTGACGTAGAGTTCCTATATGAGCTCAAGAACCCCTGAAGAACTTAGTTCTCAGCTGAGTTCCAGAAGCAAGCCCAATTTTGCTTCTTCCAATTCAGTATCAGCTAACAGTAATCCCTGTGCCATAGCTGTTCCGCCTGGCTTGGCCCTCTGGAATTTTCTTGAGGTCCCATGTGAGAGTTATAGGTGTACTTGAAGACTTAGGACACAGGCCCTTATTCTCTGAATCTCCTTCCATCTGGCTCTTCCATGATCTTCCCTCAGCTAGGATTTTTAGGAAACAAATCCTTGCCTGCCATAGACCTCCAGGGTTTAGGAAGATGACCTTGGTAAGAGATTATCCATTGTTAGTGTTTTGGACAAAAGACTTGGGCATCTGCACCAGGTGTCTTCAAAAGAGAGTAAATGTTGATCCAGAACCTATACACACCATCATTTTTGAAGTTAGTGGATTTGTTCTAGACTTCTAGATATTTTGATATTTAAAATGTTTCATTTCCTGTTTCAGCACATTCAGCCTCAGTCCCCAGGCAGCATGACCAGAAAAATACACACTGAGCCATAAATCAAATCCCCTCTCCGCAGCGGGCCTCCTGTAGGCTTCCGCTGAGCCACAGGCTAGTACTTCGCTGCTAGACAGATGTCTTACGACAGCTCACAGAGCCTTACCTGCCTTTCTGACATGATGTAGAGTTGCTCGTGGTCCTTGGAGAAAGCCATGTCCCGGAGCACAGGGCCCGGGTCTACCACCTGCATGGTCTCGTACTGAAGGGCATTGCCCTTGGGCCCGTCCACTCGGATCTGAGGAGAAAAGGGAGAGGAGAACCAAGGTGAGTTCAGATCCTGCCCTGCTCACAGTTGAGCTGCAGCCCAGATACCCTCCTGACAGCCAGGGCAGAGGCAGTGAGCTGTGCCCAGAGTGCCCACAGGCCCCAAAGAGCAGGAGTGGCCCAGTGCACCATGGTCTTAGGTGAGGAATGGCACAAAGTGGGGAGGGGGAGACCAAACTAGTCTTCACAAAGAACCGGTGTTATTTCCTCTGGTTCCTGGCACCTCAGGTAAGCTTTGGAGGAGAGGATGGTGCTGATAGTATGGAGTGGGTCTGGGGATTGGGGAACAGTGGATTCACTGAGTCTGCGTCTGGTCAGAGTGTCATTCTGTAACAGAAAGGCAATTGCATTTGCCATATTTGAGAGCATAAAACATGTGGGTGTAACAATGTGGGCTGATTCTTTGACATTGGTACCCAGGTGTCCCTGCCACACTTTGGAGGGAACCAGGCAAGTGGCCACTCTGGTCTAGTATAATATTTACATTAAGTGGGCTCATTCTGGTCATTGAAACCAATGGCTCGTATCTCAGATTTTGGAGTAGCTGGAGAGTCCTGACACCTCCTACATGTTCTATTTGTGTCCCCAGGGAAGGGGATGTGGGCATTCCAGGAAAATGTGCTTTGGGCATGAGTCATCCTCCATCTTCTGAGAACAAAAGCACTTAGCAGATAGAGTGTCCCTGTGCAGTCGGCCAGTCCTTCCTAGAACCGCTTAGATAACATGCAGACAACCAGGAAAGAATTTTGCCTGTTCCCCCATGACTAAGGCAAATCTAAAAAAGCTCGCCCCTACTCTAGAATCAGAATCATCACAAGTCTGAGCTGATAGATCCGACATGATCACTGCCCAGTGCGAATAATGCCACTCATATACGTCAGGGCCAAACGTTACCAATAACATGGGAAGGATGCGGGGAGCACTGGAGGGAGATGGGGAGAGGCAAGAGCAAGGGGATCACCAGACTTGATTAGATACCATTTGTATAAACTCTAAAATACCCACGGTGTAATTCTAGAGATTTTAATAACAAACATAAAGAAAAATATTATTCTAAATAGTCCTGCTATGTACTCTTATTTTAAATTTTTAATGTCTAATTTTTAACTTCTCATAAGATCAAGGAAAATAGAAGAGTTATTCAGAGGAACTAAATTACAGCAGAAATGCCACATTGATGACAACTGACCACATCGATTCATTTGAAAGTTGGCTGCCTCTCGTTTCTGTTGAATTCATTGCAGTCTGACACCAAGGTATTTTGTGACTTATGTGTGTGATTTTAGGTATATCCCAAGATCTGTCTGTTTGTCTGTTTTACTTCTAAGCATTATTTTTATGCCCTTCCTACACATCAGGAAAATGGTTTTGAATATAATTCTTTATTCACATAACCTCTCAATCCTACAACTTTGGTGTTCATTTGTCATGGCTTGCATGACCCCTCCAGCATCCATTCCACCCTCTCTCACATTTTTGGGTGGGATTGGACCCACTCCCTGCTTCCTCAGTGGTCCTTGATAGGCATAAGCGAACCAATTTTATCTTACTCTCTTACCACAGTGATTGAAAGAAAGCAGGCTCAAGCCAACCAACATGTGCAATCAGAGTAAGCAGGGTCTGTGTTTCATGATGAGAGAAGAGAGGATCTCTTCTGACCCTCAATGGGGTCAAAGAAACAGGGAGCTCAAAGAACTAACTGTTGGCAGTTCTTTTGTGCCAAGGAGGGGAGCTAGAACCAGAAGAGGTCAAGAGCAATGTTAGAAAAAAAAATTAGTTTTTGGTGATGTCCCAGAGCCACTGAATCAAAATAACCCCAAAGACTTTCCTATGCTGGGACTTTCTTGTTACTCAAGAGATTTCCTGACTGTTAAATTAACGTTAAAACTCCTAACCGATACACAGATAATAGATGAGGAAAATGAGACCCGGGTACATTGAGCAGCTGGCCTGAGCTACAGAATCTGGGGAAAGAACCCTGACAGGAAAGACCTGTTCCTTGATGGGTTTCACAGTTACTTCCTGGGGGTGTGACCTAAGGCAAGGAGCCGCGGTCACTGTCTCTGGTCTCTCTGGTCTAAACAATTCCTGGGGATTTCACCAGTCATTCCTGATAGCGACGTTCAAATACTTGAGCTCAATGAATACTGATTTTTAAAAGTGAAGAACACATAGATGAAGTTAAAACTTCTCTTTGCTATTTCCCTTTAAGTTCATTAAACAACGACAACCAAAAAAACAAGTAAAGGGATTGAAGAGAGATCTGTTTAGCTCTGAAAATCAAAATGCCTCAAATTTCAATAACCCGCCTGTTTCTGTGTCCCCCTCCAAGCCACCAGACATCTACCTGGCCCGGCTCTGACTTAATCTGAATGAAATGGGAGTTCATGCAAAGTCAATTGAGGTTACCAACCAAGTCTGACTGCATGGTGATGGTCTCGGCCCCCAGCCCAACCAGGCTTCACCTCCAGCTGTGAGTTACCTCTGGAGCAGCAACTTCTGTGACAAGAGTGACAAGAGTGATACTGAGCACCCTGGCTGGTCTCCAGTCCTCTCACGCCGCTGGCAGGAGCAGGCTCCCCAAGAGAAATTGGATTCAGTGCTCGAGTGACCTTCTTTATCCTTTGGTTCCAACTCTCTTGCTCTTTAGGATGAGGAGCTGTGCTGAATGTGTGTGGGCATCAGAGGAAAAGCAGGGACAGAGGGCTGGACCAGGGAGCACCCACAGAGCAAGTTCTCAAAGGCCTGGCCTTCCCCATGGAGGCAAGAGAGAGTTACGGCTCCCCTCCTGCTCTCTGGGTTGGAAATCAGTTATTAGAAAGAGGTCTCCCCCTCCCCTCAGCCCACCCAATCTACTACTTGTTTCAGAAAGCAGAAAGGAAAGCATTCATTTATCCATCTGCAGAATGAATCTCACACGAAACATGGATAAAAGGCATTTGTGGTGAGATTTACTGAATGATGGGCAATCATAAAATTTAGGTAGGATGGGCCAGCTGCCAGCTCTTGGGTTGTTACGTTAACAATAGCAACAGGAGTGGTTAATGAGTCAGTAGTACTATGTATCAGATATGATGCTAGACCTTCTACATGCATTTACCTTCTCATTTAGATTCATTATAATCATGACAGTATAATCACTTTGCATGGTGACAGATGGTTATTAGACTTAGTGTGGTGAACACATCATAAGGTACAGAAATGTTAAATCGCTATATTGCACACCTGAATCTAATATAATATCATATACCAACTATACTTTAATAAAAAATAGAAAAAATAAGTCTCATAACTCCATGAGGTAAGCATTAATATTATCCCATTTACGGGAGAGGCACAGAGAGGGTTAATAACTTGTTCATGGTCGTGCAGCTAGTGCACAGCATGGCTTTGACCCCAACCAAGGTCTGACTGATTCCAGTGTCCGTGTTCTATGCATTTACATACTGCACTGTTGGTTAGATAAACATGAATCCCTCCAAGGACTGAAAGTGGCTGATGTTAAACAAACATCGTCCTGCGAGTCCTGCAGGAACCACGTCTACTGCGCGTGTCTACTGAGTTCTTCAGGGAGCGACTCTCACCTGGGAATGAAGAAGATGCTGTTGTAAATTTTCCAAATTATGATCCCTTCTATTTTTGCTTTATACCTTTCAAGGCACTCTTAAATAACATCGTTTCATCTGACGGTTGTAAAGTTTTTATGATGTCGACTAGCAGCATCAACACTCTCATTTCACCAATGAAGCAACTGAGATTGGGGCCGTTCTGCGCCTTGCCCAGAAGTCAGCGATAAACCAGGGACATTCAGGACCAGCACCCAGGTCTCCTGCTTCGTAGCTCAGCACTTGCCTCTTAGAAATTTAGATTTTCCAAAAGTCTTTGACAAAGTTCCATGTGAAAAAGGTATTTAAAAATAATGAGTCTCCATGGGACTTTGGAGAGTTTAGCCATGGAGAGAGAACTGAGTCCGAGACAGAAAAGGGCACGTTTCTGTGTGGAGAAGTGGGAACTTGGGGACTCCCAAACGTTAGTGTTATGACTAGTCTCAATACTACTTTTTATACGTGGTCTGGAGAACAGGAAAATGCGCAGAGTATTCTAAGCTCTTTGGGATACCAAGAAGGCCAATGATGGAGATGAAATGCAGAAGGATGGCATATCCTCTGCAGGGACGGGAGTGCGGGGTGCAGCACATGGGTGACTAGACCTGGGACTGAGAGTCACGGGGACAGAGGTCAAGCCTGCCGCAGTCAGCACGGCAGTCCCGCTGTGCGGCACAGTGCCCAAGACTTGGTCGGAGCTCAGTAAGTAGCTACCGACAAGCGTTGGTGAGGGTGTGGGGAAAAGGGAATCCTTACACGCTGTTGGTGGGAATATCACTATGGAAAACAGTATGGAGGTTCTTCAAAAACTTAAAAATAGATCTACTATACAATCCAGCAATCCTACTCTTGCATATATATCCAAAGGAAATGAAATTAGCATCTCAAAGTGGTATCGGTACTCTCATATTCATTGCAGCATTACTCACAATAGCCAAGATATGGAAAAACCTAAATATCTGTAAATGGATTAAAAATGTGAGAGATATATATAAAATTCAGCTCTAAAATAAAAGGAAATCCTGCCATTTGCAACAACAAGGATGGAACTGGAGAACATTATGCTAAGTGAAATAAGCCAGACACAGAAAGACAAATATTGCATGATCTCATTTATATGTAGAATCGAAAATAGTCAAACTCACAGAAGCAGAGTAGAATGGCAGTTGCCGGGGGTGGGGGGGGCGGGGGGGCGGAGCCAGAACTGGGGGAGATGTTGGTCAAAGGGTAAAAAGTTTCAGTTATAAGATGAAAAAGTACTGGAGATCTAATGTACAGTACAGTAACTATAATTAATAATACTGATTGGATTTCTATTTTTGAAATTTGCTAAGAAGATAGTGTAACAAAAAAGGGGTTCTGCGGA